TGGTGGGGGGTGTGTGTGTGTGTGTGAGATTCAAGAAGTGGGCAGTGGTCCACTGGGGTGGGGGTGCTGATACTTTGAATTCCCTGGGGAGCTATGGCTCAATTTACTGTTCTGGGTACTGGGGATTCCAAGAAAGCTAGGTGGTCAATAGCTAGGGATGTCTGCTCACAAGGATCTATCTACTTGTGACCTTTCTGCCAGCCTTGGCATGAAGCATTCCTCAGACTTGGGGTGTTATGCGGGACTTGAGTTAAGTCAGTCTCAAGGTCTAGATGTCTTTTCATCAGAAAAAGAAAACAGGGGGAGTATTTTAAATTCACAGACTTAGACTCTCTAGACTCTTCCTTTTGCCCTTCCTATTCACTTGTAAGGGAGCAAAGGTTTGGCCTTGTAGCCAGCAAAACATTCTGTGGTGACTTCTACTAGCACAGTCTCTGAGCTAGAGGGACTCTTGTGCTGTTTCCTGAGATAGGCCGTTCTAAAATGGAAGTGGGATTAGAAGCCCATCTGAGCCCTTTATTTTCTTGATCTAGTTAATGAGGATTCTACATTTTTGGGTTCATTATAAAGTGTTTTGAAATCACAGAGGCAGCAGGCACAGCCCAGCAATTGTGCGTTAGTCATGACACTGTGGTTTGGATATAGCCCCTTTGCACCCCCAGGCCTATATGCTGCAGGCTTGGTCCCCAGACCCCCTGTGTCACTCTGGGATAGAACCTAGTAGAAATGAGTTATTTTGGGCATGTCTTGAGGGACCCCAGACCACCGTTCTTTTCTTTCTTTTTTCAATACTGCCATGCGGCTAGCAGCTTTTTCCTGCTGTGTGCCCTGGATATGATGTGCTATTTTGCCACATGCCCATGGGGACAGTAGTGATGGATTGAAAACTGGAGGTCAACCAAAACAAACCTGTCCTGCTTATCAGTTGATTTAGCTTAGGTATTTGTTGAAATAACGGACGGTTAATTAATGCACACGGGTTGGAATTTTAAACTAACAAACGAGCAAGCCAATTGACTGGCCACATGTCAGTTTTCTTATCTCTTTGATGGGGAAGATAATTGTCTTTTCTTCATGGAGTTACTAGAATCCATCCATTAAAGGAATAAAAGCAAAACAGCACACTCTTTGAGAACCAGTAGCTACTAAGCATGTTTCAGAAACAGGGCTTTCTTCATGGAGCACAGTGCAAGTCTTGAGCTACTTAAAAATGGTGGAGGGCCCAGTGACTTGTCACTCCAAAGAATTCCCAGGATGTGCAGGTTATCTGGTAACTGATATCCGGAAGACCGTTTTCAATATCTAATATCTGGTGTTGGCAGCTTTTAAAGGAGCATGGCAATGTGTGCTTAGCCAATGTCTTTGACCGTTGAGCCCTTTGTGGCTACCACTAAAGGAGCTGGGCATAGGTTCAAAATACTATTCAGGGCCGGGATGTAGTCCATCAGGGCCGGATGCTTGCCTATCATACAGTGGGGCCCTGTGTTCCATAACCCATATTGGGGGAACAAAAAGTAACACAGAATCCATGGACACAGAGCAAAGAAGAGGGAGGTTTGTTGGAGGTTTTTTTTTTTTTTTTTTTTTTTTTTTTTTTTTTTTTAAAAGAAACTCTCCTACCATATTAGATGTGAGGAGTGGTCATCACTTGGATGTGCCCATTAAAACTGTCTCTGAGCTGTTAGGGAGTCAAGGTGGAGTTTAATTCTGTATGGGTCTTTTCAGTTGATAAGACCTAGGAGGTACCTGTCCATGGCTGATTGATCTGTGGGACTTACCTGACACCAAACTTCCCCAGACAGACAGTTAGAGGAACTCCAACTCCACCTGTGCTAAAGCTGGACATTGATATTGAGCACACCCTGGTATACAGTGTGAAGGGCTCCCTGCATTTCCCTTGCTGAATATGCACTCAGATTCTGTCTGCCTTGTTTTGGATGATATAAAAACAAAACCACTAACTTTCTTTTAATAAAAAATTAGGACAATTTGTTTTCTTTAAATGTTTGGGGGCAATAACATGAGATTGTATAGATTAATTTGACAACCGCTCTTTTATGGTTTTTGACATACGAAAGAATTGGCTTCTTTATGATCTGTTCATGCATGTGTATTATTACACTTTGCTCATATCCCTTCCCATTATTCTCTCTTATTCTTCCTTTCCCCTGCTATCTGCCTTTCCCCCTTACCTCATCTCTCTCTCTCTCTCTCTCTCTCTCTCTCTCTCTCTCGCACCTCTATTCTGCACACGAGAGAAAAACATGACAAGATTTATCTTTCCAATTCAAAATTATTTCACTTCACATGATGAAACCTAAAATTGATTTGAGACCCTCTTGATGTCCTGCAGCAATCCCTGGGGACACTTGCAGCTCGGTAGCACAGTGACCAGCTGTTTTCCTTTTGTGTAGGACTGGGTGGGGCATTGTTCTAAATACTTTCTCTTCCTCACCCTCTCCCCTTCTCTCTTTGCCTCCCCTCCTCATCCTAGCTCTGAGGATGAAAATCAAAGAAGTGAAGAAGGAAAATGGTGACAAGAAGATCGTCCCCAAGAAGAAGAAGCCCCTGAAACTGGGGCCCATTAAGAAGAAGGAGCTGAAGCGGCTTGTGCTGGTCCTCAAGAATGGTGCTGACTGTCCCTGCCACCAGCTGGACAACCTCAGCCACCAATTCCTCATCATGGGCCGCAAGGTGAAGAGCCAGTACCTGCTGACCGCCATTCACAAGTGGGACAAGAAAAACAAGGAATTCAAAAACTTCATGAAGAAAATGAAAACCCATGAGTGCCCCACCTTCCAGTCTGTTTTTAAGTGATAGTGGGGTGGACTGGGGAGGGAGTGTGACCTGGGGTGAGGGTGGGGGCGAGTGGATGGCCCTGGCTCTTGGGGTTCACATATTGCTCTTGCCCATTACAGTTGTGGCTTTTGCATTGCAGCTGGCTCCATCCCTACAGCGACCCCACTCCCTTCTCCTTACATAGCCATAGCCAGCTATGTCCAGGGCTCTTTAGATTAGGAAGGCTTTTTAAGGGCTGCAACAGGGCCAGCAGTCACTGTGCAAAAGGAAGGGCAGAATCCTTTCACTGAGTCTCAGGCACACACAGGCACACAAGTTTGCCAGTTTGGAAAAAGAAAATTAAAAAAAAAAAAAAAAAGGATTGCAAAGAAGTGCACGAGAGCAGCTGGCTGAAGTTGTACATTCTGGACATCATTAGGAATTGCTTGTGGAGTCTTCAGGTAATCTAAGCCTTTGCAGGCAGAAAATTTTGACCATTGGCAAGCCAGGATGCTTTCGGTTTGGTAGTAATCCCCCCTTTTCTGTATTAGATAGAAACAAGAGCACCACCACCCCAACACTCTCTCTCTCTCTCTCTCTCTCTCTCCTCCAGTAGCTGGGGTATTCCAGTACAGAATGGGATAGACAGGGGGCTGGATGGGAGGCCACTGCCTGTTCTATCCTCAGCTTTTGCACCAACCAACCTTTTATAGGAGACTGTTGGTCTCAGATGGCCATTTCTATCGGTCCCTTGGGACACAATGGTGACAAAGGCCTGCTTTTGTATGAGGAGGACATGCAGAGACATGAGGCATTTCAGGCTGAGAAGCCAATGATTACCGGTTTTCAAAAATACAGTGAAAGGAAAAAAAGCAAATGTAGTGCATCAGTTGGGCACGAGTTGGGGTGGACAGGGAACCTTACATTGTGATTTCATCTGTCACATTTCAAAAGAACAACAGCAACATAAACAGTGACAAAACCCCACACACCCTTCAAGGCATGGAGAAAAATCCACGCTGAGCATTTGAAAGATAACCAAGACCACGCTCTTAGACAGCTGGTGGCTGCCCTCGGGCTGGCGGCACATGTGCTGTGGAAGGTGTCTCTGTCTGCGCATGTGCTGTGGAGGTGGGTCTGGCACCACCACAGTGCTCTGCTGTCCTGGATCCCGCACAGCTATGGAATCCACAGCGCTCCCCAGACTGCTTTTCTCCAGGGAGATCCATTTCTTCAAACATGATTGTGTATAGTTAAAAGAAATTCGAAATTGCTGCCTGCCTGACCCCTCCACTTTTACTTTTGTACCCCCCCCACTAGTGTTTTTTTTGAGGGTAAGTGTCCTATCCAAGGAGATGGTTTCAAAGTTAACCATTGGCAGTTTCCCAAGTGCCCGAAGGCATTCCTCAAAGTTGGTATGCTTAATAAGTGATGTAAATAAGCCAGTTCTCTTAGGCAGCCTTACTCTTGTTGTCCGGGTAGTTCTAAAGAGAAAAGAAATGAACGTTAATTTCTTCCACCAAAGTCTGACTGTTCATTCCCCCACCACATCTCAAGGACCCCTGGCATACGAATTCCAGATGCAGCATAGATTGTGAGGAGTCACACTAGTCATCTAGTGGCCTTGGATTGTCACAGAAACAGGAAAATTCTGCAAACTTCTGGAAGACTGTAGCCTGGAAATCAGCGAGCCAATCTAGTTACCTACCCGAGTAGGATACTGACCTAATTAACCTCTTGTTTAGTAATCCCATTATCATAACACTTTTAAAAATTCTTTCAACCTTAATCATAAAATTATTAGAGACCTTAAGTGATTTGTCTATAATTTTGGATGATTTAAAAATGCATATGCATATTAGTGATTAGAAATAGTCCACTTTCTCATTGCCCAACTGAAATGCAAACATTTCATGAGTGTGTAGAGCTAGCTGGGCCTCGAGTTACTATTTCAGGGCTCACTGAAGGTCTGCTCATTTTGGCAAAGTGTGCTATGCAGCAGGGCCCTCTCCCAAGTGACAGAGGATTTCCTACATGAATTTACCTGAGTGTGTTAGCAGTTTCACGGAAAGCAAGCTAGGGGTCGTGCTGGGAAGCTCTGGGTTAGGAGTCCTCAGGTACGAGGCAATGCTGTCAGAAAGAATTCACCAGAAACGGACATGTGGACTGCAGTGGCTGTTCCCCAGCTTCAGAATCCCTGGCTTTAGAGTTCCATTGTGGACCTGTGAGGATTTTAGACACATACAGAGCAGTTTTGTTTGCACGACGTCAGCAGTTCAGGACAACAAGGGAGGCTATCTATGCACCCAAAGCTGCGTGATCACCAACCTTTGTTCTTTTCGACAAAAGGTACAACAAACCGATGTGCAGATTCATTTCACTGGTCTCCAATAGTGGAGGGCCTTGTGTGTTCAGACCATTGTTGCCTGTGAAAGGGGCAGACTTGGAAAGCTTTCAGAAAGTCATTTGGGAGAGGAGGAGGCCAGACCTGCTGAACCATTGCACACTATCGGTAGTTACCGTAGAAGGTAGACTTGGAGGCAAGAATTGTATTTTACTTTTAAAGCATTCTGAATTAACACTCAGCTCTCATGGTTGGTGGGTTAGCATTATGTTCTCCCAAGGGCAGGATCTAAGCAGAGTTCTAGGCCTCCTATGAATGTGTAAATCACAGGAATCTCATTTCCCAAAGTTAGAACCTGTTTTCCTTGTTAGACTCTGTGTAACTACATGGTCTGTTGTACCTTCATAGCTGGAGCGTTTCAAGATGTGTTTCAGAAGCAAACCTGAGACCACATCTGGATGCTGGCATGCTGGCTGCTCTGACCTGGCAGTGCAGGTCCTAAGCACATGGATGGAATTCCTGTTGGCCCTAGTTCCTGTGTGAGGACTCCACTTTTAGAGTCTAAAAGTTTTATAAAAAAGCTTTGAATACTGTGAAGATGTTTTACATTCCATTTCATTTGTGTTGTTTTTTAACTACATCTGACCAGATGTTTTGATGTTATCACATATGTTAATAGTAATTCCCATATGTGTTTTGTTTCCATGCTTTTCCTGCCATGTATTCACTAAAATCACTCAATCAATAACAACGTGAGTTGTGATTTACCCGACTCCCTGTCATCCAGCACTCCACACTCTCCCACTCTGCATATTCCCTTGTGTTGTTTCCTGCTCCTAGATCATCCATCACCTTTAAGTGGTACCTGGGTGTGGTAGAGTGGAAGCGACCTGGGAAGGACCATGAATCTCCCCACCATCCTTCCCCACTAACCATTTCTCTATAACAGCCTGTTGTCTGGCTGGCTGTGTGGGTTTCAGCTCTGCCAAGATTTTGGCCCCATGTTTCAGATGCCCTTTCCGGGCCTGCCCCGTCCCCCCTTCCATTTTAGTATTCACATTCCAATTTCCAGCTAGAACTTAAGAAATGGTTTATATCTGGTGCTGTGATCTCATTTGGGATTTTGCAGATGAAGTGGCTAAGATGTGACATGGCTGGGTCACTGGCGTGGCTAGAATTAGAACCCACAATCCCTGAGTCCCAGCTGTGTAGGCTGAATTATCTGCTGGGTCTGCGTTTGTACCCAGAGTGACACACTTTGCTGATCCCCGGTTGTTTATTTTGGGGTTGGGCCTCTTGCCTACAGAATTCTTCTGTTGTAGTGATAGCTCCATTGGATGGTACACCCTGGTTAAAAAGCTCCTCCACACTGGAACAACTAGTAATGTTTTTTTCAAATGTGCATCAAAACATCACCTATTCAAGCACAGCATCACTATCTTTAAAGCGAGGAATGAGGGTTTTCACATACTCATCTAACTGGTGAAGTACCGAAGTGCAAACACTGCTAGGTAGAATATTGGCACTTCCTCTTGGTTCTCCTGTGATTTAAGGAGAGAATTTCCTTTAGGCTTGGTACCACCCCTACAGAATCCAAACTTCCATGACCCATAACATCTCAAATTGTCCTCTTTCTAACAAATTAGCACAGAGATGATGACAGGTGTGCAGAAGTATACTTTGGTTTCAGGGGGTGCTGGGGCATTCAGGATCCCCAGCGCTGAGAGTGTGGGCCTGCTTAGGCATGTTAGGTAATCTAAGAACTACAGGCTTGCTTGACGTCATTCGGCATAGCATACACTTCTCTTCAAGGAACCAGCTAGACCTCTTTATCAAAGGGAAACAAGAGATGGGTCCAAGTTAGGTTGGCTTTGCTGTCTTCCCACATAGGATCCAGACATGCCAGCAAATCCACATTGGCTTCTGAGGAAGAAAAAACTGGGACCTGTCGCCTGATGAAAGTCACAGGAGAGAAGGGGAATGTATTTCCCTGTAAACCTGTGTGGTGGTCACCAAGAGTGGCATGCTCACGTTCAGTTCCTGGCTTCTACCCTCAGAAATTTTGATTATGAAGGGTGGTAATGGGGTCTCATATGTTATGAGGGAGGCCTTCACTGAAACAAATGCTCACAACACACAGGAAACAGAATGGTCTTAACAAGGAGTCAGGGCAAGAAGTAGCCCCAGGAACACTTCTGCAGTGACCTACATACTTCTACCGGAATCCCACCTGCAGTTTCCCTCCCAACAGCTCGTTTAAATTTTTAATTCATCGAAGGATTGAACTATTACTTGGGTCAGATTCTTCATGATCTAATTATCTCTCCTGGGCATATTACAGTTGAATGAAGTTGACAATCTAGATAACACCAGATTTAGAATTTGTAAGTTTGCTGGCTGTTTCAAGACACTGGTTCATTACATCTTTGCAAAACCTTCTAATAGCCCAAACATGGCTTGGGAATGAGAAGCAGGTATTTATTTGGGACTTCTTTTCTCTTCCACACACATTGCTGCAAGATCTCTTGAAGTACTATGGGCCACTTTGATATTAGTTAATAAAGTGGTTCAGAGAGAGGGGATGAGACTTGGCTTTATCCTTTATAGTGGGATACATCTGGATCTTCAAAGAGCGCTACTAAGATTTAATAAGTACAAGCCACAGAGAACAAGTGCAGGTTCTGATTCTGTGGAT